CAACAATATTAAAAGCTATATTGAAAAGAACCCATAAAAAGCTTTAAGTTTCATAACAGTTTCAAATTGCTCTCTTAACACTCGATATTAATACCAAATGCGTTGCAAACAAATAAAATCAACTTGAAAATAGGAACGCAAGTTTCGAAGCAAAGGGGGGAAAACACACCTGCAAGAGATTAGCAAGGGTTTCAATAGTGGCGGTTTTGTTGATTCCAACTTCATAACACCTCACGATCTACTTTTCTTTAAAAGACAACCCGTCTTCCGCCAAGCTTCCCAACCGGAGCCGGTCAGCCAAACTCCCCCACCCGGATTTAACGACCTCGGCCACTTCTGGTTTCTGACTCGACATAACCGCTATGACCGGCGTCAACTTGAGTTTACTCGGAAGAGGACAAGAGACAGAGACCGGGGCCCGCCGCCGAAATGCGAACGGACCGGGGGAACCGAGGAACCGGCATTGAGCCGACGCCTGAACTTGGTCCGTCACATTACAAGAACAAAGCTTCAGCATCTCTTATCTCTTCCTTAAATCTTCCTAAAAGCTCTAAGCTTTCTTTAGTACTTAATTATTTGTAAGTCTGATTTGCATTTCCCCTCTATTGGGGTCGATTTTATTTATAATTTTATTAGGTTAAACTACTTAAATAGTCACCAAACCTTTAGTCTTCTTTTATTTTGTCACTAAACTTTTAAAACTTACAATACAATTACTGATCTTTTAAAACTTACAATACAATTACTGAACTTTTAATTCATTTTCATTATGATGACTATCAATTTTTATACAGGAGATGTCGAGGTTTCACATTATCTTCTTTCTCTCCTTTCCCCCCTTCATAGCTAAACATTCCTCTTCAATGCTTAACTCAATGCCCATCGTCTCATCATTACTCATGGTTTATTTTTAAGTCTAGTTGTATATTTATTATTTTTTGTATCCACAACTTTCACTTCATTTAACCATGCATCGATAAATGAAAATTAATAGTTGACTTATTTCATATGTTTATCATTTGCTCCCCTTGTTTGGAGTCTCTACGTATCTTTAACTTGCACGAGCATATTTTTTTTCTTGAAAATCCTTTCTTGAGACTATATTATGTCCTCATCTGTGATGATCAATTGATTTTATTAAACCGTAGGCAATTCAAAGTTGCAAGATAAAGAATGCGTTGTCAAGTTTTATGTCCGACAAAAAGAAAAACAATGAACTAATCATTAAATGGAAGCCATTAATAGTTTGTTTCTAATCATTGAATTGTATTCAGATGATGTAAAAGGGAAATGAATTGACAGAAGAAGTTTAAGTATTGCCATTACAAGTAACTGATTGAAGTATTTTAGTGAATAGATCGATTAGTGTTTAGAAATAAGTATTTTTCACTTATAGAACTTCATAATTATGATTCTATTAGTAAGCAGCATCACACATATATTATCATTTATCATCTCAAATATATTTTTTGATGATAATGACCGTAATGAAAATAAATTAAAAATTTTAAAGCTTTGATGATCAAAATACAAGTACACTAAGTATTTGGTGACTATTTGTATAATTTACACTTTTATTTATTTTATTCTGTCGATGCGACCGATGTCTTGTGGTTGGAAGTTGGTGGGCAAAGTAGTTTGTAAATTGCCACTAGTTTTTCAATTTAATTACTAAATTGCCATTAGAGTCTGATTCATGTTCCCCACTAAAATATATGCAACTGAAGTCACTTAATACTAGAAATGATTGAAGCAATTTTGGTACTAATTGATTTATTGATATTTTTTAAAAGTTCGAGGATTGAGCATCACAAATATTAGAAGTTTAAATGTTAATATTATATAATAAATTATTATATTTAAACATAAATTATTTTATATTTATTTTAAATTTAAAAAAATTAAAAAAAATATTGTTAATACTATATGATTATTCACGAAAAATTTATATATTTAAATTTCGTTTGTTTAAAAATAAATTGATCAAATTCAATTAATATCATGAATTAATTAAATAATAATCCAGTTTTAAAAAAAAATACTTAAAATTTAAATTAGAATTTTTGTTTATTATGAATTTTTTATTGAATTGATATTACATATTAATTAAATAAAGATAATATTATAATGGTTTTATTAAGAATTGTTTTATTTATAATGAAGTTTTATTTGTGTAGAAATCCCCAAGTAGAATTACACTTCCTTTCTACCATTGAATTAATTTGATGAATTCTTTAAATATATTTTAAAATATTAATTAATATTATTATAAGAATGATTTTTATTTTTGTGTGTTTATATAACTTTTAAATAATATAATGAAGATTTATTATTTAAAAATCAAACACATAATTAATAAATATATATATAAAGTTCCCCTCTATTTGTAACAATTTACTAAACTATTTCTTTTATTAAACTAAGGTTAGTATATGTTTTAAACATTCTCGGTCATTTGATAATGAAATTTCGAATATTTTTTTAGTTTCTGATGCTCGAAGCTAAAACTTCTAGAGATAACAATCATCCATTTAACTATTGAAATAATTTGATTTGTATGTAACATATGCTCATTTATATCATGTAATAAGATCTAATATAACATTTATTATCAAGTATGCTTGATATAATTACTTGTAGGTCATTTCAATGTTAGGCTGCTGGACAATTAAAACTTTGGAATAAACTCAAAGCTTAGACTATCATCATTAAATATATTAATTAAAATTAATAAATTTAATCGACGGTCCAAAGGTCTATAATTAACTCCATTTATCATATTTTTATCATTTTATTTTTTGAGATTTAGTTTTTTTTTTAATTTTTAATATTTTTTTATAAAAATAATTAAAGATTTTATCAACAAAATGTACGATTTTATTTTACTTTTATAAATTTTTTTATGTTTAGATTTATTGTCATCTCTTCAATCGATAATTATTTAATTATCTTATTGATTTACCTCTACTTTTCATCTTCAAATTGCTGATCTCATATCGATTGGTGTTATCGTATTCGATTATTATTATATTATTTTCCTTTATCACCAGCAATACTGATTATTTATATATTTTAACCTTTTTAGTTGTTTGATTAGGTATTCCCCCCCATATAATCATATTTTCGATATCCAACAGTTAATTAGTAGGTTTTAGACTGAATGAGCAGGTGGTGTAATTAGTCTATTTTAAAATTTATCGACTCTTTTTTTATATAGTAATTATTATTATATATTATTTATTGAATAAATTTAGATATTATTAAAAATATATTGTGTCTAGAAGGATAAATATACAACGCACGTCGTATACCGCAACATGTCACTAAAACGACGTACCGTAACGTACCACAAGTAAATTTGTCCTTATTTTATAAATATTTAAAAGTATGAAAAATTATTTAAAATTCATCATTTATTAAATTTAATAGAATTATAATTAAATTATATTTTTATTAAAAATAATAATTAATTTCAGTAATTTAATTTGTTTAGAATTAGGATTTTTAAGTTATATAAGTTAGAAGCGACCATCAGCGTTAGTCATCGTCGACGATCACCTTAACTCGTCGGAAAATCAAATGTTGCAACATCCAACGCTTATGTTTGTCGTCGCCCAATTCGCCATTGTCCAAGAGTCAGCCATCTCGAAAGAGAAGCTCTGCCTTTTGCGTTGGCCGTAGTCTATTTATTTTTCCTTTTTTTACGCATAGTGACCTTCAAAGAATCATCCCAACCATCGCCCATCCTAGCCAGACCAACCACGACTGTCGGTTCTCGTTCGTCTCTGTAACCGCCGTCGTGTATAAGTCCAACGCACTTAACTCTCTGATCATCTTTTCCATTAGTTTTCTTTAATGGTAAAATTACATTCCAACCCCCTTATATGTGTTATATTAGAATGATTGGTCTGGTTACGATGAACGAGCGGCAGGAGATGATTCTTCGAAAGTCACCGTGCATAAAAAATAAAAATTAAATGAAAGTCGCAAACGACAAAGTTTCTCCTTCGCGGCGGCCGAATGCTGGGAGATGACGAGCTGGATGACGACAAACGAAAACACTGATGTTTTAGCAGTTGATTTTTCGAAAAGTTAAGGTGGTCACCGATCATGATTGATGTTGGTAGCCAGTTCTAACTTATATAACTTAAAAATCTTAATTTTAAACAAATTAAATTACTTAAATTAATTATTATTTTTAGTAAAAAATATAATTTAATTATAATTCTATTAAAATTATAATTAAATTTTAATAAATGATTAATCTTAAATAAATCCTTATTATGTAAATATTAAAACTATAATTTTAATAGAATTATAATTATAAAGATTTATTTAAATTTGATCATTTATTAAAAGTTAATTATAATTTTAATAGAATTATAATTAAATTATAATTTTTTATTAAAAATAATAATTAATTTAAGTAATTTAATTCATTTAGAATTAGGATGGTTAAGTTATATAAGTTAAAATTATAATTAATTTTAATAAATGATTAGTTTTAAATAAATCCTTATATTTTTTAATATTTACATGATAAAAACAAATTTACTTATGATACATTTTAATACGTCACTTTAGTGGTACATTACGATATGCGACATGTATAGTAGAATTTTTCGTATTTAGAATTACTTTTGAAAATCACAATTAGGTAGGGAAGATGGTATTCAGTTGGTACCACTTACCTCACCTTAAATCCATCAAATGATAAAAATAATATTATTTTCTCTAAAAATTTTGAATTCAAACACTCACGTCTACAATATATGTATACATTATAAATTAATTAAAGAAATTTTAAATAGATATTAATTTATAATCATCATCTTATAATAGGGGAAAAAACTCTTTAGATTGTTTTTTTTGTTTTATTAGTGATTTATAATCTCAGTATCAATAAAAGGTGAGATTTCCCCAGAATAGGATGCCCAGCAACAAGGTTAGAACAATACATCACAATTGTATTGTAAACGAACAAGAATTCAATCTAGACTATCCACGACCACCGAAAACCTTTCAGTGCTGTATTATAAAAGACAAAATGGAAGAGGAAACCCTAAAATTATCTCACATATCAAATTTCCTCAACTAAGTTTTCCTCTAAATGAATCACTACACTTTATACCAGAGGTTGTATTTATCCTTTGATAACTCCAAACAATTTATGGATCAATGTCTTTAAGCGGAGGCAGGTACCCTTGGTGCCATGTTCTTGGGTGCTGCACTAACAGCTGGTCCACCAGAGCGGTTCGTGTGGCTGCCACCGTTACTCACCATGTGGTAACCCCTTTGATATCCTTCACCTCTGCGGTTGGAGTATCCTCCTCGATTGTTGCTCCTGCTTCCAAACTCAGCCTGATAGCCAAACTCACCCCGGCTATAGCCCCTGCCACCACCACCGTAGTTTCCGCGCCCTCTCACTCCGTCATTTCTGTATCCAGCCCCAGAACCATATGAAGACCGTACTTTGTTCACTGTAAACAGAGACAGTCTCATAAAATGCATAAAAAATATCTCAAAAGCTACGATGCTCATATTCTTAGAGTAAACTCTATATTCTGAACAGATAAAAAAGATTTGCTCTTCAATTAAATATGATTTGCACCCAACCAAAAAAGGAAAACATTAGTCCTGTGCCAAACCAAATATTTCAAAGGTTGATGGATGGAAACACCGCTTCAACATTAACATAAAAGTGCCAGATAAGTAAATAATTAGAGATGAGCAAAGCTCACTTGTAGCACTTTCTCTAATAACCATTGTAACACATGATTCCCCAAAGTGAAAGATCTCATATACTAGACAATTTTTTTTTGCCAAATTATGCGAGGTCATTGACCAAAATTTGAGTAAACTTGCCTCGAGTGGTAGACCGCTTTTCTTCAACAATTGCATTTCGTCCACCAATATTAATAGGCGAAGCCTGAAAATTATATCAAAAAGGAAAAAGGCAGAAACAAGTAAATTTATTGTACAAAAGAAATTAATAAATGCAGAGGGACATTCATTGAGGCACATCCAAATCAAATATAAGTCAGCTAACCTTGAGGCTGATGCCCTAGCTAAGGCTGGTATAGGTTGATTTAGTGTTGTGATTTAGGGTTGCTTTCTGGTTTTCTAATTTCTATTTAGGTGTGAATGGGTGTTGTAATTGCTAAGTACTTATTTTGTTATTAATGAAATTCTAAGGTACTCTTTTCCTCCTTCCGCTGATTAAGGAGCTTTTCTAAGAGCTCCATTAATCATGAAGGGGTTTTTTAATGAGGCCCTCTATTCTTATAAAAAAAAAATCAAATATAAGTCATGACTTAAGTTACACATGAAACTAACCTTTTCCTTATTCCTAGAAAATCCTACAATTCCAATTACTAACAAAAATAACAGAAAATTCACTTAAATCCAGGCACCATCATAGCCTTTAGTCAAGAAGTTTTGAGAGATTAAATTAAATGTCCTGCTGTAAGCAGAAACAAAACATGTATGGTTGGTTCAAAAGAATTTCAGAGTTGCAGAACTTTAACCAACCCATGCCATAGTAAGAGTTGTTTACATTTGCAACCAAATGCATTATGAAGGAAAATACTAAATAGGCCAGAATGGGAAAAAATGATAAATACCTCTATGGCACTTTGTGCTGAACTTGCAACTTCAAATTCCACAAAACCAAAACAGAATCCCTGTATAGAAATATATAAGACATATTAATTAGATATGCCATTACATTTAACCCACTTAAAAATGGGTTAACATTTACCTTCTGACTTCGAACTTGAATACCGCCGCTCTTTATAGGTCCAAACCTCTTGAACTCATTTTCCAGCATGCTAGGTGTGGCATTCAAGGGCAAACCTTTGACATAAATGGAAGGACCCGCAGCTGCACAATCAAAAGAAGTAAATCATATGCAAAGCAAAGAATAAAGAGATAACTATAATAAAGAGATCGTCAAAAATCCTTGATTAACAAGTTTTCCAGGAATGACAGAAAGCTGATACCTTCTGCCTCTTGATAGTTCCCATTTTCTGTAATATTGTTGTTGGAAGTCTGAACGTCAGACACTGGGGCTGGAGCAATAGGTGGTGCAGCAGTTCCTAGTTGTTCATGGCTCTTGACTGCAGACTTCACAGGGGAATGTGTAGGGGTGGATGAAGGAACAGCATTCTCTTTCATAAACTTCACCTAGGGGGAAAATAGAAGCTAAATCAACACCTTAAAGCTCTGAATATAAAAGGTAAAAAATAAATGCAAAGTAATTGTGAAAAGATTAGAAGCCTGCACGCAGCATAATGCTACTTACAATAGAAGCATATGATTTCTTCGGCACTTCCTCAATTTTGGAGGTAGAATCATCAACCATTTGTGAATCATCAGGAATCGCATCCACAACCTCAGCCACTGGTTCTTCCTCTTCTTCAATAGAACCAACCCCATTCTCAGAAGGGTTATATGCTTCTGGCCCATTAACTTCTTCTGGAGTCACAGATAGTTGCTCAACAATGTGGTTCTCAAGAGCAGGAGAAGGATCTGCAGACAAATTTTTATATCAAATTATCAATTGCACAAACCCTTATCATTTTGCATTTCAGAAGGCATTATAGATTTCCAGTTACCCTGCTCAGGAGTAAGAGAAGCTTCAGTATTATTAACTGGCTCCGGGTTCCCACTTTCATGTTTGGCTTCATCAATGTATCTAAATACATCATTTAAAACAAAATAGCCCTTGTCTTGAGGTGCCAGAAAGAAACTCTGAGTGAATTTCTGCTTCACTTTGTCCTTTCCAGTTAATTGTCCAGTCACAAGAACAAGTACTCCCCCATTGTGAGAGTCTTGTGCATCTACAGTTGTTATCTCAGCTATAAATTCACCGTAACCAAGTGCGAGTATCTTCTCGTTGATAGCCTGGTCCACAAAATGACACCACTGTTTCAACTCTACTAACTAAAACTCCTATAAGTCTTTACCATTTAGATATTACATCAAAAGAATACAACTTAACATGGAATGCTATATTTCCTTTATGTCCAATTTTGCACAACTGAACCAGAAAGTGGATTCTCACATAAGAAATTAAGTAAACCTTGATTTACTCAGCTATATACTTTAAAAACAGTAGAAAAACTGGTTTCGATATAAACATTGAATTCTATAAAGAAAAATAAGCTTCAAAAGAAATGGCACATATACGACATATACCCTCATTTAGAAAGTCAGACCCAAGGCAAGCACACATGTATCAAAGGGACAGATGTATAGAACTTACTTGCATGGTTGAAGTTATACCCATGACACCATTTCCTTCAGGACGACCAAGTTTGCTGTCATCGTGGTAAAACCGGTGAACCAGATCAGGAGATTGGTGTAATATATGGTAGTATTGATGAACAAAGGCAATGCCCACCTAAAATCACCAACAATAGAAATTAAATTTTAACTTTATATGCAATATTATTAGTAGTAAAACATCCAAATAAGAAGGAAACATACAACATCAGCAGTAGGAGTTGAAATTCCAGATGGGACTTCTTGTGCTGTTACAGTAGATGCCATTGCCATCCGGAGCCTGCAACACAACAGAATCCAAATTCAAATTACTAATCTAAATCTAAACCCTAGTCATTTACTAGAACCAAAACTCCAACTAGAATTTAGGTCTAAAATCATAATTTGATTTTTAATCAGCAAATAGCCACGAAATATTCCATCTTATATATCCACTAAACAAATAAAGCATTGAGCTATCAAATATGCTGTAAAAGAATTCCCGTGATATTTTTCCAGCAAAAACAAACAGAACCTAACGGATCCAAGGAAAGAACACTTCGTTTACCGTTGAAATCAATCATATGCATTTCTTGAGAGAATATTTAAGCATCTTTTTTTACTAAAAACTGAACACCAATAATTGATCTACGAGGTTAAAGGAATAGTAATAATCATAATGAAAAATATACAAAATAGAGAAACAAAAACGAAGTGAAGTGAAGAGCTGGTTGAGCAATGAGGTTATTTACCTGAGCTTTTTGATGTGGAAAACAAACAATAAAAAGTGATTTTTGGTTCAAATCGCTTCTTTGTTTACGGCCTTTCTCTGACCTCCGTTTCCAATGGATTGCTTGGCGCTTTCTAGGGTTTTGGGTGGATCTTGAAGAGGCGCGACACCAACAGATGAAGGAGAGATGATGACTAGGCTCAGTTGAAACAAGGTTTTTGGTATTTATAGTTGAAAAATAAAGCATACGAGAGACCCGGTGAATATATAATTCGTATCAATTCTTTTAATATTTTAATGACCTAAATTATATATAATACATTTTTTTTATTGAGTTTTATATTTTACAAATTAAAAATGTGTTTGTCTGCATATTTAATTAAAATTCATATACGTATTAGAATTAGTTAAAACTTGTGCTTTTGATGAAATTAAAACTCCTAAAACGTAAAAGAATTGATATTATTCCTACTTTCATTAGAATTATATCTCTATAAAATAGATTAAATAGTGTTTCTATAAGATTGTCTAATCAACAAGAACAATAATTATTTGAGTGTCTATTTGATTATCGATTAACTAATAAAATATTAGTTTATTAGGGTGTCTAGAGTAACCATGATCAACCTATTGAAGTGATTGAGTCGTGAATTAATGTCTATGATTTATTTGGCTAGATATTTTTTATTATTAAGTTTTAAATTATCTTTAATTTTTTTATTAAGTCTTTTAATTTAATTTGTATTATATAATCTATTCATTTTTACTTTCTTGATTTTTCTTTTTATAAAATAGTTTTTAAATCAATTTTAAGCAGAAATTATGTTTTAAGGTTTTAATACCCATCAATGTGTTTGATCAATTTTATTTTGAATTGATTATAAAAATTTAAAATGTTATATTTCAGTCATTTATGTTATCAATTGTTATAATTTAATCATTAATATGTTGAATTTTATAATTTTGATGACGTAATACATTAGTTAAAATGATTGATATTTATTTGTATCATAAAATGTATATAAAATATTAATTTAAATCTAAAATCTATCCATTTTTCTTCTAGATTACATCATCACCGTTGGTCATTATTGATGTCCCTCTAATGTACATTCTTTGATAAGTAATAAAAAATTGAAGTGACCTTCTCCACACTTCTCTCTCGTTTTTCTCTCATAGTTAGGCTTAAAGGAAAAGAAAGCAAATGAGTAAATCAAATGGCACCCACAACATGAATTTGTGATCCTATTCAGATTGTTGTAATTGTAAAATGTCTGATCATAAATGAGTTGTTGTAACCATATAATTTACGATAAACTACACGTTTAATACTCCAATTTTTTCTTTTCAAACAAAATATTATTATTTTTATCTTATTCCGACCACTCAATTATTTTCTTAAAATCATATCTAACATTCAAATTTCATTTCATTTTTGTCAAACACTGTTAAAATATTAATGATGATGTAGACGTGTCACCATAAAATAATGCAACAAACTTCAGTTTGAATCATAACAAAGGTGAAAAATTACGGAAGAGGCTTGTGAATAGCTCTAAACAATAGTTTTAAATATAACAAATTTTGATATTTGTAATTAAGAAATTGATTTCAAACTTTTAATTATATATCATTTTAATTTTAATTAAAAACATTATTTATTATTAATAATGCAAAGAAACAATACATTATCTTAATTGAATATCCACTTTTATAAATATTTAAATATTTAAATATAAAATTAAAATTTTTTTTATTAAATAAATGATAATAATATCCATGCACGTATATTGTCGTTGTCGTTGATATTTATACATTTTAAATTAAATTTTATTGATTAGTTGGTGATATATATATATATTAAAATTATTTTTTAATAAAAAATATAATTAAATAAGTAATTTATTATTTCAAGTTAATTGGAGTAAAACAACATATAAATACAGCATGATGTTGCCTTGCCCGTGAGAGTGAAACGTGAGAGACGAACTGAATCAGTCCTTTGCGCCGCTCAGTCAAAAAATGGGTATTTTGTCACCATCCAAACACTCTAATTTTTTCTCCTGTTTGACATTCATTTACCATTATCTCTCAATTATGTGTTTCTTTTTCTTTTTCTCGGGTATTTCCAGGGATTCCATGCACAAGAGACGTTCCACGGGTGGCAAGAAGAAGGCTTGGAGGAAGAAACGAAAGTAATTCTCCATTTCTCTTCTCATCTTTGCTGAGTTTTTGCGTTATTTTTTTTTACCATTTTCTCTTTTTGTAAGTCTGCTAATGAATTATATGGTTTAGCATTCCCTTTTCTGGGTGAAATATATATATGTTCTTATCGTTGCTGAAAGGTAAACAATTTTGAATTGTTTTACTTTAAGGTAATCGATCTATTAAAAAGATGTTGATTGATGTTTCATTGATGTTAGAGATCGTGTGGTATTCGTGCAAGTCTAAATTCATTGAAAAACTCACATATGATTAAGGATAGATGGAGGCGTTTTAGAATCACAACCTCTAAAAATTTTAGATTCTCATATAATGTATGTGAAAAACTCATATATAACTAGCAATACACCGACGAGATATTGAGATATTGACGTCGCATCTTTAGAGATTTCAAATTCTTATTTCTAATATACTTGAAGATCTACACCCCTAACACAAAATCTTGATTATGTCCCTACATTTGACTTTTTTCGAGTTCGAATAAAATAAAATACGAGACCAAGGTATCTGTTGTTTGAGGTTTTTATGCAATGCTTTATGGAAGAATACTATTGGGAATAGATCCATTGAATTTCCAGTTTTGATGCTATGCCTTCTTCAATGATTTCGGTATTTCTTTGTGCAGGTACGAACTCGGTCGCCTGCCCGGAAATACGAAGCTCTCGAGCAACAAAACCGTGAGGAGAATCCGTACTAGAGGAGGCAACGTGAAGTGGAGAGCGCTGAGGTTGGACACAGGCAACTATTCATGGGGCAGTGAGTCCATCACCCGTAAAACTCGTATCCTCGACGTCGTATATAATGCCTCGAACAACGAGCTTGTTCGGACACAGACTCTCGTAAAGAGCGCCATTGTTCAAGTTGATGCTGCTCCATTTAAGCAGTGGTACCTTCAGCACTACGGTATCGACATAGTGAGGAAGAAGAAGACTGCCTCTAAGAAGGAAGCTACTGAGGTATAGAAAGTTCACAAATGATCTTTTTCCCTTGATGAATTTTCTTTTTTGCCTTCAGGTCATCTTTCAAATCATGTTTATTCGATCTTCATTTTTCTTGAAGTATTCATTTTCCATCGTTTCCGATTCATTCTCTTATTTACACTTGCACTAAAATTCGAATAACACAACTTTTGAATGTGATAATTCAATGATCTATTCTTTATTTTGGCTTAATTACTCGCGCTTATCACATATTCAGAAAAGAATATGGAGAATCTTTATCTTCTAAAAGAAAATAAATATATTCGTGTTAGAAACATATTCATATTCAATCTATAAAACCCGAATTTGAGTAACATAGCTTTTGTTTATGCATCAAAAAACTTTTAGGAACAAGAAAGCACTGCCGAGGAAACCAAGAAGAGTAAGCATGTGACAAGGAAGCTTGAGAAGCGCCAAAAGGATCGAAAACTCGACCCTCACGTTGAAGACCAATTTGGTGGTGGTAGATTGTTGGCATGCATATCTTCGAGGCCTGCTCAATGTGGCAGAGCTGATGGGTAAGTTTTGGTGTCTATCCTCTTTATTATCCGGAGATACGAATTAAGATATGAATGCCATATACGAATATACATACTATGTAAGTATATTAAGATCTGAGTGCCTATGGACACATAATTCGCCAATAGCATATTTTCGGGATTCGACTATAATATCTTATTCTCTTCTCTATTATTGAGTATTTTCTACTCCTTATTATTCCTATTCTTCTTCTTAAAACAGATGAACTTGTTTATACATTAAGAGTGAATTATCATTAAAGATGATAACCGACGCGTCTCAAGCTTTAAAACTCTACTTTTTAGGATTTATTCATGAACTTAATTTGTTCGAATTATCCAACAATATCCACATATGAATATCTTCATGCAAGTCGAACAAGTGTCCAACATATATACTGTTAAGTACCCATTTTCATGCACTATCCATACAAAATTTAACATAACGTACGTGTTTAGGTACATCTTGGAAGGTAAGGAGCTGGAGTTCTACACGAAGAAAACGCATAAGAAGAAGGGCAAGGGTGCTGGAGCTGCTTAGATGAATCAAGTCTTACTTCTTTTAGTTGAATTAATGATATTCAATTGTTTCTTTTCTTTTTATCGAAATAATGTTAGAGGATATTCAATGAAATAAATTTATTAATTTCTTCCATCATTTTACTTTCCTTCTTGGATTTAATTAATTTAAAATTATTCTATGTATTGTGAATAAGATGAAGAAAATTCTACTTCCCTATGCCACCGTTGCATTGAAATATGAATTGCATTCAGGTGCTTGGCTTAATTGGTAAGACGAGATTGAACACTCGACGGGAGAAAGAAGAAGAGGAGAGGGAAATTACAAATTTAGAGAAGGTTCTTTTGATTAAGTTTACAAACATATTTGTTTTGATCAAGAATACAATATAATAAAATATTTAAATAAGCTTTAAGAATATATTTTTGATTAAATCAATCATTCTTTATTATGAATACAAGTGGACAGTCAGTATTCGACTAACTTTCGAGATCTTCATTATTCGTTTAATCGCATCTGATTTTAATCTACAAGCTTTACCAACACATTCTTCTAAGTTTAATTCATACATAATTCAATTGGTTAATTTTATAAATATTTAACTGTCATGTAAAATATATTACATATCATGTATCACGTGTGATGCCTAGAGCTCGAGTGATTGCTGCACTGTACATGCATGTTTCTGCTGTTTCGGCATCTTCTAGAAATATCCTCCGATCCCAAGTTTACTTTATTGGCCTTTTATAAAGATATTTTATAAAGTTTAATCTCTAAAATGATCAGTTGATTATAAGTTAAAAGGAACTTTTAGTATAATTTACCTAAAAATTTTATTTTGATCAATATCAAATTGTAAATAAATCAAAATTTAATTTTTATTTTCATTTTAGTCAATAAATCTATGTTCAATTTTTATTTAGGTATTCATTTAATTTAATCATTATTCTCAAAGTTTAGATAGAATTCAAGTCCCAAAAATGTAATCCATTCATTTAATCATTATTCTCAACTCATGTATTAGCTAAATGATTAACGATAAAATATTTAAAATAAAAATAAAAGAAAAAAATTTAGAGTTACAACAAATTACAAGAAATGTGAATGAAACACTTGTTCTTTTAAGTAACATGTTTCCAAATAATGTATAATTTATTAATGTAATTACATGTGTATGAAAATTATTAAAAAATAAACCCTTTTTTCAAACAAACAACCTGAAGAATTAGACAACTTACTTTGTTCCAAGAATTAAACAACTATATATTATTAACGTTAATGACTAATTTGTTATTTTTAAAACTTCAGTGAGAAAAATAAAAACTTACTCAAATATTAGTGACCATTTGTATAGTTTACCCAAAAGATTATTGAGTTTGGAATGGGGAAAGAATATCGTGTGAGCCAAAAAAATCACGCCGTTGCCGGGGATCGAACCCGGGTCACCCGCGTGACAGGCGGGAATACTTACCACTATACTACAACGACTTGTTGTTTTAGGTGAAGAGATAAACCATTTTGATTAAAAATATAGAATTCAATTCATTTCAAAATTAGCATAATTCCATCTGCCTTTTAACCAGAGTGATGCAATAAATCAAACTTTTCTAATCAAGAAAACCCAAATAGACATCCATTTTTATAATTTAAAAACCCTGAATTTAAATCTTGTTTTAAAGTGAATGACCAAATTCGAAGGAATTAAAATAGAGGGTTTAAATCCACAACTATGTCATATGCTACATGGATTAATAGGATAAAGCTAAGGTAGCTCTAATTTGTTTTCACTCTGGTTCTCAAATTGCATCGGTTTGACATAATATAACATTGAATACTCTCTCAAGAAGAATTATATAAGTATTTTACAAAAATGAAAAATGTGCTTCCCAGCAGTGGAATGACATTCAAGCAATGAATAGTCCATGCAGGAATCGTGTCCTCCGGCTATGATACTCACCGTGTATCATTCTCGTGGTTGTGATGGAGTCGGTGAAGACGGTGGCGTCAGATCCGGATACTGCACAGCAATGAGGATAAGAGACATTAAAATTCATGCATTCAGTCATTTACTAATGCACAGGATCGATATGTAAATTAGTCTTCCAACCATTCACCTTTTAACAGTTTATGTTAAGGAGAAGAGGACCGGTGAATGACGAACATAAGTATGTGTCTAACACAAATGTGTTCATTTGGAGAAAGATAATATGTAGAGAAAAGAGAGAAAACGTAAGTTAGGGAACAGTGCAGAGGACCGAGAACGAACTTTTGCAAGTGGAATGGATTCGGTAACTTCATGATCCATCGTTTGGCTTTCCATTACAGGAGCATTTGTAGGAGAGGAGCCATCTTTCTTATCCTCAACTTGATTGACTGCTCCAAAACCTTGAGAAGTTTGGACCTTATTCTTCTTCTTCTTGCGCTTAATATGTACAGAAGGTGGCAAAAGGGTCTCCTGTATAGCCTGCAAGAATCCGAAAGATTTCAAGCACATGCAATCTATATTTCTAATATATTATCTGAACTCAAATACAAATGTTCGATACAGATACAAGTCTGGCGTGCTTATATGCTCACAAATATTTGAAAGATCATGTCCATTCTCATACTAATGTACACACATGCATCAAAACCCGATAAAAATAAGTCCGAATAAACAATATAATATACTAACAGCAGATAAACAACACACTAGATATTCATTATGGGTTTCTAGACACAAAGGAAACCTAAATACCACACGTTCTCAGATTTAATCAAAGTTAGAACTTAACATTTTTACCATTTAACTACGAAATAGATGTAAACTAAAGGAACCTATGTTGTCGAGTCTTCATCGTTCTCGAAGTATTCATCTCTTACACATATCCCATATTGGTATATGGATAAGAATTTCATGGATTGTCCATGGAAATATTTTTGAAAATAGAACATGCTCATGTCGAACACGTTCTAGTACTAACACTTGCATCGAAGCTCGAGTGAACGAACAATTGGTCAATCTTAGACATGAGAATGAAGATCAACACTAATTATATAAGATCAATAGCTAAAATCAATAAAAAAAAAGCTACAAGAATAATGCTTGTACTCCACATTTCTTGATTGTTTTGAAGCTTTCTAAACCGATATTGTGAAAGAATAGGCCTTATTGACTTGTATTTACTTCCAAGGTTAGAAATCTCAAGTTTCACCGAAATTCAAATTTAAGCCTCGATTCGATAATCCTTGAATTAGATCGTTGAATTATGGTCGTATGCAAGAAAACTATGAGACATCAAGAGCAAGAATGCATCCGCTACTATAATACAAATCCCGGTGGTGTATACCATCTAATAATCTTCCATCCCCAAATAATCCAAACTCTCAGGCATATCAAGAATAAGCATTTCAACAATTTCATGTAGCAAATATGAAATTGTTGACTCTCAACTGAACCTTTCTACTTATCGACTTCGCTGCAAGTGTAAGAGACGATTCCCTAAAGCTAACAAACCCATGAAATGCTCGAAAACAAGGAACATACTTAAAGAAACTAAACCAGAAACAAAGACATGAAATTGAATTACTCTAAATTCAACCATTTACTAAGAAACATAGAGACTTACCATCCATCCTTTCTTGCCCATGACTCCATCCCTGATTGCATAAGCCTCCTTAAAGCCTTTCTGATACAATAACTCAGCTGCTTTCAAGGAATTTCCATCAAAACTACCTTACACAAAGAATGAGACAAAACAACTACGCAATTATGAAATAGTTCCAAAAAACAAACAATCCAACCAAGAACTGAAACGTAAGTTCCAATAGGGCTTACTTATCAAGCACACAGATACTGGTATTTGCAGGGTTAGGGAACTTCTCCAGCACTTTCTTCACGAACCCATCCTCGTCTTCAGCACTATACTGAAGTTGAACCGTGCCCTTGTTCAAGAAATTCAGATCAGGGGATCCCAAAGAAGCCAGAGTTCTTTTCTCTCTAATATCCAAAAGTTGTGCATTCGGGTCATCACGTAGCTTCCTAAAAGCATCAATGGCGGGCACAAACTTGCATTTGCTCAAGTACTGTCCAATTAAAGGTACAACAACGAGCCAGATTAAAGTGCAGCCAGCAACGAAAAATGGGTTTTTGTTAAAAAAATCATCGACCGAAACCAACACTGCTTCGAGGTTTACTTTGCCTGGCACGGTTGGAGATATTACTGTTTCGGAGGCGGCGAGGCAAGGGAAGGAAGCAAAGAGGTTAAATAAGGTGAAAGAGACATGGGTCTTGGCTACGGTTTGTAAAAGAGAAGATTTTTGAAGCGATAAGAGAGGGTTTAGAGAGTGAAGAAAGGGTGAGGGAGAGGTTAATTTAGTGGCGGGAGATTTGGTTTGTTTAGAAATGGAGTGCGAAGAGATTGGTTTGAGGGTTTTGGGGTGGTTTTGGAAGAGTGGAGAAGACAAAAGGATCATAGAAAGAGACTCCATTAAATGACTGTCGAGGATACGCAGGGAGGAAGAAGATAAGAGTGGAAGAGATTGGGCTGACGGGGCATTTTGATCAAGTGCAGGCCGTTGTTGGTTTGGTTTGGTTTCACGAAAACGTCCCCAATATTTGCAGACCGTTCACTTTTCCTCTGAACTTTTACATATTTTCAGTGAATTTTTAAAATATTAATAATATAATATTAAGAAAAAAAATTTGTGACAATCTATAATAATTATTGATATTATTAATGTCAAATAATCATAAAAATTAAAATATATATTTTAAAAAACAAATTAGTGTATGTGCACGTTTATCATATATAATAATATAAATATATATATATATATATATATATATTAACTCCATATGTAGAACATTTTAAAACGGTTATTTATCAGTCGAGTTGATCTAAGAGTTTTTTTTTTTGCAATTCAGCCATCATATTAGAAGACAAATAAGTTCTTATATAAACTCCTAAAAAACACAATAAACAGCAACAATTAAAATGATCCGCGAACAAAAGGCTACCTTCTCACGTCCCTAATAACAAGAAGCAAAGTTTTCAGCCTTTTAAAACTCTAGCAGGCAGCAAAAGAAAATAAATAATTAAACTCAAAAAATACGCTCAAAATTCCAATGCTGAATCCAATCAGAGCATGTTGCTCATGCTCAGCATCATCAATTTCAACAGCTTAATCAGTCCTCATCGGAATCATCATCGGCTCCGACAGCTGAATTCAGAGCTTTCAGCCTATCAATCAGCTTCGCCTTCCTTTCCTCGTAAGTCAGCTTCTTCAGGTTGTACCTGTAGTGTAAAACCATGTTGCAGCAGAATCTTAAAAATTGTTTGTGTGAACATGCAATGAACAATATCAAGTTTTCTTTAGAGTTATAACTAGTAAGCTTGGTCAGCCATGGCCAGTTTAATTGGCTGCCTGAACTATGTTATAAATAAATTGCTGGACGAGAGAAAGAAGCAATACCTCTTGTGTTCCTTGGGAAGTGCCTTTTCGGATTTCTTTGCTTCTGGATTTTGCACGAATAGCGGCGTGAACCTTCTTGTACATTCCCTCAATGCTGTCAGGCTCGATACCTCTCTTAATAAACTCGCTGAAGTGAGACTGGTACTTCTCAGGCTCGTCTTCCATCAAAGTCTGTCAAATTGACAAAGTGAGACATAAGCATGATAAGATATGGAACTTTATCCAAATTAAGACTTAGAAGCAAATATTATCTTTACCCTCATGTATGCAGCAACATGGCCTCCGTAAATGTATTTGCGGTGAACTTCAGGATCAAGTTGTTTATTGTCCTTGTTAAATCCAGCAAACCTCTTCTCGCTGTGGGGAATATCAATTCCACCATCCAAAGCACCCTATAAAAGAAAACAGAAAGACCACACGTTTTACAACCAAATGAATAGAAAATACAAGTAGAAGACTGACAAGCTAAAAGATAATTTATTCAAGAATAGGTTTTTTCAGCACAAATAGGCGAGAATGCAAGGTCTAGCGGTTAATATAAACAGAAAAACTAAAATACTCATTGCAAGAAAACTTAACATATAAAATAACTAAATGAAAGCCCACGATTACATATAGGAACATGCGTCTTTGAATGAATGATGATGAAAATTATCAATGCACTGCAAACTCAACTAGCAGGCATGATTATACCTGGCATTTCATGCATTTGTGTTGTTCATGTGTATTCACTCATATCATGATCATGTATAACATTCGACAAGTTAAGATTGCGTTAAATATCAATTTTAATGACTTCCCGTATCACATTCATGCCCATATAATTGTATCATGTCCAGAAATGAATCGATAACTTTAATTAAGATGTAGAAGAAAATCAATGGATAAGTTCTTACTCAAGACAATCATATAGGAAGGTGACTATACCTTGAGAACACCAAAAACACGGTTGCCAGTAGTAGTTTTAACAAGACCAACATCAAGGAGAGCGCGGAAAGGCCTTCTGGTCTCTGCTGGTTCAACAGTGAAGTCCTCCCCAGTTGCCTGTGAGCAAACAGCATACATTACGTACAGATAATTATCATACATCTAAACAAAAGATTAGAAACAGCACATATTTCTTCCAACCTAATCCAAGGCACATACGTACCTCAACATTTCCCTCATATTCAGCATCCATCTCCAGCTGCTTCAGCGTTCGGCGAGCCAATAGGAGTCCAACACAATAGGCTGTGTTCAAAAGCATCATTAAGATAGCATCCTCAATCAGGTGCAAAAAGAATTTTAATGTTTATACAAAAGAACATCAAACCTGCAGCATAATTTGTAAGGCCAACTACAAGTCCGTAGCGAGGAAGTTCATGAGCATAAGCTGCTGCGAGAACTATATCACCAGAAATACTAGCATGGACAATTTGTGCAACTATATCTTTGTTGGTCTGATATATAGTTAAGGTAAGAATGTTAATCAGCAGCCCAAAAATGTTTAAAAATAAAATACGTCAGATTACCTATAAAAGCTCATATAATATTTTGTAGCTTTTAGTGGCTCCAACAAACTATCAGATTAACTGAACAAATTACCCACTGGCAATGAATTATAATTCCTGCTCACTACCCAGATCATAAACAAAATTACACCATGGGAAAAAAGTACAGTCAGCCAATTATAAGGATACAAATCGTGCAACAAAACGATATTTCGGGGTGTTGTACTTGTTCTTATCCTGATTGATAAGACGGTTCCTCGCCCGGTAGTCAGTCTTGCCCTCTACAATTTAAAGAAAATATTAAAATCTATATAACAAGTAATAGAATTTCATAACACTATTTCAAGTATGGGTACTGGTATCATACCTCGCCTTCTCTTGAACTTAACTTGAAATCGCTTGAAGTACGCCTTAGATTTCTGAGCTTTCACGAAAGGCTAGGCCATAAAACTAACCAACTTAGAAAAACTAGGCAGTATAAAATAATTTCAAACATAGAAAAACCTATATAATAGTTAAGTACTATGGTACTTAAACTTGGATGTGAGAGTTAGACATGGATATCATCAATTTTCTTTTTCTGTATTCTCAGGGGATCCTTGGAGGGTTATATCCCCATTTCAGTGTCTAAATATATATCAAACGTGAGTACTTCACGAAAGATATAGAGCCGAGGAAACATAAGTTAAGTTCCAAGCTTTTCACAATTTTAAAAAAATTGCAGTGTCTAAACTTAGTAACTTACTGCTATAATTTTTCAGTTTTAAAATGATAATATTAATAATTAGTAGGCAATGTCTTCTATATACACATTAATTTTCATTTCTCTTCCGGAAACAAAAAAATAGCAAAACTAAGAACCAAAATTTTTTAAACATCAAATTTAATTTATTGTTTCTTTCTTCGATTCTCGGATCAATTGCTTTTCTCAAACAAGATCGTACCTACGTTAAGAACATACTTTCACTATTTCATGTTTTCAAGAACAAAACAGGGATCTGACATTGAAGTCTGTTTCAAAACATTATACAAATAGGATTTGCAGTTGAAATAAGAGATGCTTAGACGCAAAAAATAAATGAGAAAAATATAGAAATTTATAAAGGAAAAAATATCGTGAGTACATAGATTTACCATGGCTTTGAGCACAGTGGTTTGCAGCTCCAAGGGAGTGTGAAGACAAACGCGAGCTATGGCCTACAGAAAAACCCTAATCGTGCCAATTTATAGAAGAAAATTCACGGTGATGATTGATTTCGTTAAGATGTGTTGATCGCAAACTATTTAGCCCACTTGATTTTGGGCTGGTGCAAGGAGTCCAAATAATAATCTATTCTTCCTATTTATTTGTTTATTTATTATATTTTATCTTAATAAAATTTCTTCTCGAATCGATTATAATTATAATTTTATTCAACTTTAATATGACTCAAAAAATTTAATATAATCACATCTTAATCAAATGATTAATGTATTAGAGTAAATGTTTTTATTCTAAAATAAAATATTGAAAGCTAAAATGACTATCTAATTAAACGTCATAGGTCTTTTCATCATAAAATGAAACGTTTGAACCAAAATATTCTAAAAAAATAATAGAAACCAAATTAATATTTTTTAAAATGTTGGAAGTTAATTTTAACATTATGTATTCTTTGTATACAATATAATTTATCCATTTGCACGAACTAAGCGACCTCCATGGTAAATAAATTGTTATTATTCATTGAGGACCCAGATTCAAACACCATAGATGACAGGGGTGTGAGCGTTTAATGTCGAGAGATTGAGTGTTATATTTGAATAAATACTACTTTGTACTTACCCCATATTAATAAAAAATCATTTTACTTTTTAGTAAATATTCATAGGATTCTACCTGTAATTCGTATGAAGTAGCCTCTCACTTCTATGCTCTTTTGAATAAACTTATTAAAAAAGTGTTACAATGACAAAAATTTTATATTAAGAGGTTAAATTTTTAAAATTTTAGGAAACAATAAGTTTATAAAATTCTTAAGACAAATATAGATTATCAATAAAAATATAAAGAAAAAATTAAATATATAATAAATTGAAAATTTCAAGACCACTGTTCCTAACTGTAGCTCTCTTATTAATTATAATCTATATGTTATATTAAAGACTTTATTAAAATTATTTGGTGCAATCAAAAAAGCTCATCTCGATAATACTTTCATCTATGGAAATAATTAAATTTCTTTAATCAGTATCATGAATTTTATTATTTTTTTGGGGTTAAATTATATTATAAATCTTTTTAAGGTACATAAATTATGAATTTAATTTATATGTTTTTTTAATTAATCATTGTTATCATATCTATTGACCGACTAATCTAATTCGGATACTGTAGAGGTGAATAGTAGTTAGCTTTCGGTATGCTAATTCATACGGTATGCTAATTCATACTATTTGTCTTATACTATGTATAAGTTATGAATTTTCATCCATGGTCTACAATTTAAAGTTTTAAATGTTTAGTTTTTAATTTTAAAATTCCATTTTTGACATTGTCATTAAATTATTAACTAAAATACCATTACATTTTTGTAAATATTTTGCGAAAATTACGAGTTTTATGTAATATATGAAAAATTAAAAATATTTAGAGATATAATTATTTTAATACCCTCTATTTATCTCTATTATAACGATGACAAAAATCAATAAGAATAAAGCTAAAGTACATGAATAGTCTCCAATTATAGGATAATATTTTATTGAGTCTCTAAACTATTAAAGGTAACAAAATTATCCTTTTACTATATGACATTGTTTTATTGAGTCATTCGACTATTAAAAGTTACAAAATGACCACCGATTATTCATATGTTCAAAACTTGTCATTTTTCATTAAATAATTGACAATCGTTTGAGTTTGTCATTAATCTATTTTTGAGTTGGACATTAATCTATTGGCCGAGATATGATAAAATTTGATCACATAATCGTATGAGTTGTATAAATGTTTGAGATTCAGGGATCATGTTTTATCATAAACTAGTCAGCATGTTAACGTCCAACTCAAATTTTCATCATTTTTAACGAAAAATGACAATGTTAGAATATATGAATAGTCGAGTGACCATTTCGTAACTTTTAATAGTCGATGAACTCAACAAATCAACATCGTATAGTTGGAGGACTCAACAAAATAGTGTCTTATAATCGGAAGATCATTTGTATACTTTGCCCTAAAAATAATTAGTGGAGTTGAAGTAACACAATTGAAAAACTCAAGAAAGTAAAAACTAGTCTATAACCAACCATTACATGCTTAAGAACTAATTTTATATTTTTAAATTATAAGACAAATCCAATTACATATATGTTTATAAAAATTGAAATATGGCCACGGGATTTGAATTAAACCTAATCATTATTGGAACCAATTTGTCTGTTTTGTATTTTCCTTTGTCTCTACGTATAAATAAAGACGAGCGGAAAAAAACAAAAATTATAACACAGACATTTTGTGAATGTCGAGTGGTATACATATCTTTGGGTCAAGTATACAATTGGGTAAATTTACATTTTACCCCCTTGCAGTTTTAAAGTTTAATTTGATATCTAAGTCCTTTGTTTTCAATTAGAATTTTAAATTTAATTGCAAGATTCAATTTGATAAGTATTTTTATATTAGATACATAAAATAAATTTTATTCAAATTGATACCTAAAATAAGTATTTGGAAAAAATTAAGTTCATCTATTAATTTAGACCGAGAAATTAAATAGAAATACCTAATTGGACCAAAAAAGTTTAGACATTAAATTATACTTGGCTTAATGTTGTTTGAAGTCCTCAAAATTTTAAACAAACCAATTAAGCATATAAATTATACTCCACTTGGTTTTTTAAAATGTGACTTCTTATCCCTTTAAATCAAATCAAATTTAAGTACGAAAATGTATATTTATCATATTAAATTACAGCTAGGTAAGAAAAAAAAAGGGGTTTTTTTTTTCTTAAGTATGTAAAGAGAGGAAAAATCCGTCACTTTATCGGGAAATAAAGGGAAAAGGGCAAAAATGAAGTAAGAAAGATTCGCATATTTAGGTTGGAAAATCGGAAAATAAATCTCCATTCCTATCCCTTTGCAAGAATCCACCCTTTTGTTTTCCGATTTAATTAAATTTGTCCCGCATACACTGACTATCACAATTACTCCAAATAATAAATCAATTTCCAATTCCTAAACCCCAACGTTAGACTTTCATAGGAACAGAAAGGATTTTTGACTTTTTTATGATTAATGGCTGCGAGTGCGAATCCGACGGGGAATTATCAGGAAGGTTCGTCGAACCAGAACGTAACGCCTCCTCCACCTCCACCAGCTAATGGCGTTTCCGTCAATTCGAACAATAGCGGGGGCAATACATCCGCCGCCGCCGTCTCGGCTGATACTCAGTCCGCGTTGAGGCACAACCCTGGCATCTCCCTCGACTGGACTCCTGAAGAACAAACGATGCTTGAAGATTTGCTTGTCAAGTAAGCTCCCTCTTCGTACCCATCACCTCATTTTGCTTACTTCTGTTATCGTTTTGTTCCTTTCTTTTCTTCTACTTGATGGAACTTGTTACTAGGGTATAAACGAGTCGAGTTCGAGTCGAATCTAAAACTTGCGAGCTCGACTCTAATTCTAAATCCTAAACTGAAGTTCGCTTGAAGTCTGAAATGATTGAAAAAAATTATTAAACTTAACTCGATTGAAATTTTATACTCGAATATGAACTTCAAATACATAAAATCTTATTATATTTTAAAAAACAATACATAAATATTAATATTATTAATAATTTATTAAAAAAATAAAATCTTAATATATTATATTTTCGAATTGTTCACGATCTTTTCGAGTCGAATGTCAAGTAATTTGTTTCGACTCGTTAATATCTCGAGTCGAGTACATTCGATCCGAGTATTTATTGAGCATTGATCTAGTCGATCTCGAGTAGTTCGAGATCTGTCTCGTCTTATCCCTTCAACTAATTATTAATTTAACAAGCTTTAAAAAATTGGAAACTGGAAATCTTAGTTACGTATTAATTAATTTTCGTCTTTTAATTTATACTTGTTTCTAAGTTGCAAAATAAATTATTGTCTTTGTTGATGCCAGTACTTTTCAGTGCTAGCGAGTGTGCTTGTTGCTCAATTTTGATTCTCAGGCTCAAGGGAAATGAAGAGATAATTTTATTCTTCCTTTATTTCTTTGTTCCTTGGACGTATTCAGTTGTATTTCTCTGTGTGAGTTTTCAATAGTTTATACTTCAAAACCAAGGAGTTCTTTGTACAAAAGGCATTTCACTAATTACTTTATGTCTTTTGTTTAGGTAAATCGTGCTTCCCTATTACCTTGTTTTTCCTCTTTGGGGGTCAAACTTTATGCTATATATAGTATCATGGTCTCTCCATATAAGTGAATGATAAACTACTTTTAGTTATGATGTCTGAGAGTGACCAATAAAATATTCTTTGCGGTTTTCTGGATGTTAAATACCATTGGATAGGTTACTTTGGCATTAGAAACACATCACCATGTGGCAGAGGGTAACGTCTCACTGTTTATTGGATCTTCCACTTATTTGATGGGATGGTTAAGAGATTATATATGTTTTAACTCTTCACAGCTAAGCAATGTGTATAACTCATTTGATATGGATAGTTTGTCAGTCTGGGCGTGGATGTTCTTATTTGGGCATCTTGTTTGGGCCACTGGATTTATGTTTTTAATTTCTTGGCGTGGATATTGGCAAGAATTGATTGACATTTTAGCATGGGCTCATGAACGTACACCTTTAGCTAACTTGATTCTATGGAGAAATCCAGAATATTCTGAAAGCTTGGGATGAACATGATTGGTGATTCAAAAGGTGAATAGGGTTGCTTGAGTTATAAATTATATTTTTGATGTTCTCCACCTTATCGAATCAAAGTTTTCAATTCATCACGAGGAGCTTGACATATAGTTCAATGAAGGTTATTTTTTCTTGTAACTTGCGTTTATGCTGTTGTTATCTTATAGGAAAAGCAGTATTTCCAAGATAAAAACTATCAGCATGATGGTCCCTGTTAAGGCGACCTGTTTCTTATTTAATCTATAGTTGAAATGTCAGTTTAGGTAGTGGATCTGTTTGTTATCCACCTGGACCCCTCATGTAACTATCCTGCAAGAAATCTAATGTAAATGCTAAATTTTGATGCTGACTTACGTAATAGCTTCTGTTATACATGTTTCTTGTTTTGGTAAATTACTATGCCAGAAATTAATAATGTGTTTCTCCTGGTTGAGTCTCGGGCATACTTGAATTTCTCTTGTTGATCCTTTTATATTTCCTCACTGCCTTTGATAAATGAAGGCAACTCAATTAATCGACATATATGCCTGGCGATATCTCTGTTTGCAGGTATGCCTCAGATTCAACCATAGTCCGGTACGCTAAAATTGCAATGCAGTTGAAGGACAAAACAGTTCGGGAGGTGGCCCTGCGGTGTAGATGGATGTCTGTAAGTTGGTCATTTCAAACTGTATATTTTTAAATATTTGGGACCAATAAGGTTTTGGAAAATTGATTTTTATGATAAGCCCATAATTTGTCCTTGTTCAGAGCAATTTATATGGTTATAACTTGATTGTTTTGATTAAATGTTTCATTTTAACGTGAACATGAAGAAAAACTCTTGGGGTAAAGGGATGTATTTGTCCTTTTCTTATTGGAGGCAGAACCCAAACTCTGATATGTTTAACATGCAGTCTTTACCATGGGGTAGAGATGGGACTACTAGTAATCAGGCGAGCCTAACTATAAGCTTATTGATGTGTATTAATTAGTATTTCTAAATTGCATTAAATTGCAATGACATAAACTCAATTCCAGCTTTATATTTGTCTGAGACTTTTTCAAGAAACGAATTTTAGATTATATTTCATATAATATTAAAAATTCTAGAATACATTAAATTGCAATGACTTTAACCTCAATTCCAGATTTAATATTTGTCCTAGACTTTTGTAAGAAATGAATTTTAGAATGTATTTCATATGATATTAGAAATTCCACTTACATGAAGCTGTAAGATTCTACCTAAAGTTCAGTGTATTACAGCAGAAAGAAAGATGCCTAATGTTTAGCTGATTAAGATGTCTTCAGAAGGAAAGATTCTACTCAGTTTATTTTTTCTCCTTCACTGATGTCTTATTCTTTTCTAAGTTGTTTCTCATCAGAAAAAATGCTCTATAGCTCATTGGGAAAAGGGTCCATAGGTAGTTTGGGTACTAGCATCTCTCTAAGAGGAATTTTAGTTCATTTGTGCACTGTGTTTAGCATAATGTCTGCAAAATGTGTCATAATCTTTTTGCTTGTACTTTTAGTAAATATTCATATAAATGTTCATTCAATTTGTGTGCCAAAAAATCACTCAGTAGAATATGCTTACAGAAAAAGGAAAATGGCAAACGAAGGAAAGAGGATCATAATTCAGCAAGGAAAAATAAAGACAGAAGGGTATTTTGTTTTTCTCCTGAATCTTAATCCTAGTACAATTCATATGTGCAATGTACTTCTACAATGCTTTATATTTCATAGGCTTAATGTAAAAATAAGTGTCCAAAGTATACCTAAAGTTAACTTTAGGTGCCTAAAGAATTTTTTGTTAAAAATAGGTGCCTAACGTTTCCAACGTTACACTTATAGGTGCCTGGATCATTAATACCGTTAAATTCGGCTGTTAAGTGGCACGTGTCAGGCAACTAAAGTTAACTTTGGATATAGTTTGGACACTTATTTTTGCATTAAGCCTATTTCATAATTGTTCCTTGAAGTATTTCTTTAGAAGAAAATTCTTTCCCTATGATTGTTTCTTGGACAAATTTGCCTAGATTGTTTGGTAACTTTAGTGGTTTCTCTCTGAATTCTGAACCTGTTTTCTGTGGTCTCTGACCTTTGATCCGTGATTGAATATAGCTTGTTTTGTCATTCTTGACATGACAATTGCTTCAAATGTATATATATATATATATATATATATATTTCACACACAGCTCCTGTGATTATTTCATGCTCATCATCCTCCATTTCATATGTATATTGAAATTCTTGAAATAAGGGTGTGTGCCTGAAAAGATTCAGGGAGGAGGTAACTAGATAATAAATCAGGGTTACATAACTAGGCGGTATATATAACACGATCATGTAATTGTCCATTGTGCCTGAGATATCAACTATGAGATAAATAAAGCATGAAGTCTGAGGCATAACTAGATATGGTTAAAAACTGAAACTTGTGCAGAGAAGGTCCACTCCGTAGCATATTCAATCTAGATAGATCTTTTGCATGAGATTCCACACTAATTCTTTTGATTTTTTTTAAAGAATTTTCTTGATTGTTTCATGTGTTTTTCTACATGCTCTAACCCGTTGTTCTTTAGTTCAGCTGGTGATGGGAGTGGGACTGCTCCACCTTCCCATTAAAAGTGTCCTCACCCCTCTTGTTTATGCATTCTATCTATTTATATTTTAGCTCATTTCTTAGATAGGTTACTTCTGTTTTTGAAACCTCAAGTTTGTAAGGACATTGGTTCACAGGAAAAAGGTACAGACTCTTCAGCAAAGTCTACGCCTCATTTAGCAGCTCGATCTAATTGTCCTGCATATGCTCTACCAATGATCCCGATGGACAACGATGATGGCATCCCATATGAAGGTTTGGTTAAGACATTTATTAGGGAGGATTTAGCGTTTTACCAATATATATATTACAACTGGGCTGAAACTTTCAACTGAACTTTTTATGCTCAGTCAGCATAAAAAAACCCCTTGTTTTTCTATTAAAAAATTATAAAATTTGATCAAGCTTAAAACTGGATGTACCATGAGCGCTGGTTCTTTGAGCTGACAAGGGCTGGCGACCATGTAGAACATAAACCTTACATCAAGTTTAAGATTTATCGACTGATTTTAAAAAAAAAAGGAATATAGGAGTTGAGAGTGAACCATTTTTTAGATCTCAATATTGTAAATATGCTTTCTTTACACTTTTTTCCTTAAAGAATTTGAATTTCTTTTCAGCCATTGGTGGTGTCACGGGAGAGTTGTTTGAACAAAATGCTCAAATGTTTAATCAGATTTCTGCTAATTTCACAGCTTTCCAGGTGAAGCATATAGTTTCTAACTTTCCTTAAATTTTCCTCCATAATTATGTGCTAAATAGATCTGCCCTGATTATTCTTCTGAACAATATTTTATAATTTTGCATTCATTAGTGCTGCTGTTGCTTGATTTCCCTTTATGTGGTCCTTTCTCTCTCTCTCTCTCTCATTTTTTTCCTTGTCAAATAAATCATTGTATTTTATTGGAGTTGAAAACTTTCTATTATGTTCTCTAAATCTTATTCTAAATTCTTTTTCAATCCCTTGTTTATATTAGGTCATTGTTGGTTTTGATTGAAAGTGGCAACAAGATAAAATAATGGAATGAGAGAAAAGAAAAGAAAAAGGATGAAATGAACTTAATCTCCTAGTAGCTAATTACTGTATTTATCTGTATTATTACGTTGTTTTCCATGCAGGTACATGACAATATAAATCTCTTATGCAAAGCACGGGACAACATCCTCACGATCATGAATGAGTATGTTATTATCTTTATGATTTGATTTTCCTGTAATGTAAATTAGAGATTTTTTAATAAGCTTTTTAATGCTGATGGGAGGACTTCATCATGATTGTATTTTTATTGCATGAGTGCAAGTTTATGAACATTCATTGCCATGTGATGCAAAATGATATATAATATATATATATATATATATATATATGGCAACACAGAAAAATTCTCTTTAGAGTATAGCTAGTTGTTTTGGCTCCCCAGCTTCTTTTTGGTAGCAGCTCGACCAATGAACTCCTCTAGCAATAGCCATTACGGTGATCGATCCCCCCCCCCTCAAATGGCTGAATAAGTTCTGTTCTTTATCTGTTGATGAGTATGGCATCTTTGTTGCATGCTATTTCCTGTAAAGACATTTGCAATAGTTTCATGTGACATTTAGTCGGTTCAGAATTCATTAGCTAAGGTCATAAGTCATAAGAGTCAAGGAAGTGAAAAAGGTGTAATCCCTCTTCATGGTTTAGGTAACGACTGAGCAATAAATTATTCAAACCTATCGGCGCTATCCCCAGCCAAAATTTCCCCCCTAAGGGATTGAAGTCTAATCCATTATTCCTATTTTGATTAACACCTACTGGCTCAGAAGCTGCATAGATGATTGGTTATTGGAACCTCGTCAGTCGGGACCATGAGTCTGCATTTCTGTCTTCTAGTCTCCCTATGTTCAGTGGAGAGGAAAGTCGGACAAATAGAAGGGAATGATAAAAAGTTCCATCATTTATTGTCTAATTTATATTATGCACTTCTTTAATGTTAATGATTTTTTTTTTCTCTCCAGTTTGAATGACCTGCCAGAAGTAATGAAGCAAATGCCTCCACTTCCGGTCAAGGTAAACGAAGAACTTGCCAACAACATCCTCGGTCATTCATCGCCTCGGATGAAATCATGATTCGGGAGGGGGGATGCTTACCTATATCCAACCATTTGTCTCAGAGCCAGGGAATCAAGTAAAATATGAAAAAATAAGGTAAAAAAATGAAGAAAGATAAACCGGTTACCTTATCAAGTCATTTTGTCAAATTAAAAGTAGTTTTCCATCCATGTGTGTTATTTCTGATAAATTTGCAAAAGTTAATCTTTTGCCCCATGATTTATGCTTCTGTTCACGTTTCGATTAATTTTAGTAGCAATTGGCGAATGTAGGATGTGAATATTTAGTTGTGTAGAAGGAATTTTTTTCCGTGTTATCATTGGCTTATATTAGTGACTCACCCTGACGTGGTGTCGAGTGCTGGATATTTGTTATATGTTGACGTGAGGAAATTCATTTTTTTTAATAGTTTTTTTCATATATTTGAGGGATCAGATTTCATATTCATGTCTAAAGATACATCAAACCTTGTGTAACAGGTAAAGGCAAATAAAATTCAATTCGGTTTAGAAAATATATATTTTTGAGTTTGAATTGTGATTGGATTTTATTTGTAGTCGATTGGATTTTGAGTTTTATTTGAATTTTAAAAGTTCTAATAATTGAAAAACTGAATATTAAAATTATGCCATTTTGGTGTTTAACTTTAGCTAAATAATTTGATTATTTTGTGATTTAGTTCATGATTTTCTTATTTTAACAATTTTTTTGTCGTTTTAAATTTATTTTGATTAAATTTAAATCGCAAGCTCCTCAACAATAGAATATTTGTGTAACTTTACGATGTACTCACCCTAGTTCTATCATCAACAAAAAAAAAAACTTTACTTGTTATTTAATTGGCTAAAGGGTATGTGAAGTTGTTGTACTTGAAAGAAAACAATGTTATTCTTAAATTCTTTTGCACCCAATGTGACCCTTAAATTTAGAATACAAATCTAATATGATCATTTAACTAAATATATTTATCGTTGATCATTAAATGTTGATGTGACATTTTATGGTGTTTGTGTAATGATCCATAGTAGTTGGGGATGTGACAGATGTAATAAATATGTTAAATTATTTTTTTTTGTCGAATTTGATGGTCAAATTAATATTTTTTTAAAAAAAAAACCAAAGACTTATTTGATTTTTAAAAAGTTATTTTAACATTTAAATTTAAACTATACAACTATAAATATATAGTTAGTAGTTGGGGATGTGACAGATGTAATAAATATGTTAAATTATTTTTTTTTGTCGAATTTGATGGTCAAATTAATATTTTTTTAAAAAAAAAACCAAAGACTTATTTGATTTTTAAAAAGTTATTTTAACATTTAAATTTAAACTATACAACTATAAATATATCATAGTGGTTGAAAATGTTATTGTTAAATGATTTATTCAATTTAGAAACGAATTGTAATGTGAATTTTATTTTATTTAACAGTATAATTATATTATTATATTCGTATATGTCAACTCTAATGTAAGTTTCACTTTATTTTAATTTTATAGAGACAAATTTGTTATTCTTTGAAAAATTTAAAAAAAAAATATTAGGGATAATAAAAAAAATCTCAAACTTATATCCACCATGTCTTTATAGAGTTGTATCTAATAAAAATGGATACCATAACTTTTCTATTACTATTTTTAAATCAAATTTAGGTGAATATAATGCATGAGTCAAAACAAAACCGAGGACCAACGATAATAATAACGTATATTTTGCGAATTGAAGGTAGCTATTAACATGGAAGGATTGAACAAGAAATACATATTTAAGTAGCTTCATCACTAAACATTTCTTAACATATAGCAACGCAAGTATCTGAGATTGAAATTCCTCAAGCAAAGTGCTGAACAACTGATATTATCAGCCGACTCGTTCGGGAGACTCTGAATCAAACCATGGAATACGAAACAATGTGAAATTTCTTGAAGCTAGTTTTCAAGATTAGTAGATGTTACCCAACACGTCCAAGTTGAATCCAGGAGCAGTTCGTTCAAGTCCCTTTCCCTTGTTGAATTTGTTGAAGAAGAGCTGCTGCTAGCTGTAATGTTGCTTGCAAGCGTTTCTGTGGATCCCCATCGCCTTCCTCCGGTATGCCAGTACTTTGCAGTTGTTGACTTCTTTGAGTTGCTTGAGACACTGCTGCAGTTGAATTCGATGTCTGCTGCTGTTGCAACTGCTGCAGTTGAGAAAACTGAGATGTTGAAAGCTCCGGAACAACCTGGTTATTTGGTAAACCGAATCCCATTCCCTGTTGTTGTCTCATCATGTCGGAGTGGTCCATTGTGTTTATGTGCCGAAAATTCTCCCCCATCGAAGCATTTGCAACAATCCCGACCTGTCCTTGCTGCCCGATAAGAGATGACGCTAGTTGTGCTAGTTGTTCTGGTTGAAGGGCATTAATCGGCATAGAGGGCTTGACATTTCCAGATAATGGAATCCCAGAACTTCCTCCCGTACTAGAATATGTTTCTTGCACTGCTCTTGGCATAACTGATTGATGCCCCTGAATTGCTGGATCAAAGCTGGAAACTTGAGGACCACTTCTGTTGACAGAAACCAGATGCTGCTGATCGAGAGAAGACCAGCCTGGTCCATACATTGCGTTTTGCTGGGGTGCATAATCATGCCTGTGCTCATTATACAAGTCCGATACATTTCCAACAGAATGAGCAGGCCCGGAAAGTGAAACAGGTGGAGCTGATGTTGCCCCATTCCCAGGGTAGGAGACCTCCTTAATGCCTTGCCTACTTAATTCTGGATAAGGCATAGAAGGAAATGGCCCTGAAGTTGTTGATGGCTTTGCAAAAGATGTATCCCCATAAAAAGGCAGCGAGTTTGAATCGCTTCTTTCACCCGGATGAGCAGAACCGGTGGAACCAGAATGATCTAATCTCAAAATAACACCTGAAATACTCAGTTTCCCAGGTACTTTCAGTACTTTATCGGAAAAATCTGATGGTGGTACAAGAAATAAAGTGGTTATATCATCTAATTTGGAAACAGCTGCTCGCTGCTTCTCTCCCAGGTAATTCATGAATTCGTTATAGAATCCCATGTCAACATCACTTTCTGGAACGAAGAAAACAACCCAAGCACTAGACGCTTGATAATAATGCTTTGCAAGCATGTCTAAACCAGTCCTTGCTGTGCAATCTAAGAATTCAGGCCTGCAGGCATCAAGGTAGGGCTAATAAGTAAAATTTGTAGAAGTCCGAAGGATAGGTGGTAAATGGAAACGACGCTATCAGAATAACTATGTGATGCCTTGTGAAGTCGAAAAGCATTCATTTTTCATAAGAACTTTTTCTTTTTTCTTTTGGTAGAGAAATCTAAAAACATAAACACCAAATATGGACAAAAATACTTTGCAGAAAACTTCTACTTCATATTGTATCAAGTCGTTTAATAAATAATTAAACCTTTAATCTACCAACTTACAGCATCATGTCAAGTACTTTTCCAACAGGAAAGCAGCGAGCACGACATACAGGTGTTCCACCCTTGGCTATTGTCCCCTCCCATTTCCACTCTTTCAATGATGGCTGATCCAGCTCCTGAGTAAATATTTTCCTCTCAGCAATATTTGATTGTAGAAAACCAGAACCTACCTGAAAACCATCATAAGATTGTTTCCAGTGATCATTCCTTTCTCCACGAGTCGGGGTAAAACTCGTTGGCCGATCAGGAATCTGTTTATACCACAAAGCTGACGGCTCAAAGTTCTTATCAAAGGCTTCAGGTTGAGGAATATCAGAGAGCATCCTTGGAAAAACACGTTTTTCTTGTTCAAGATCAGATAAAGTGTACTCTGGTAACTCTTTCTCAGGAGGAAAGGAACCGGTTCTCATTTTCTTGGCACCATGGACGGGATAGTTGTCTTCAGGCATATCCCAAGGTTCTTCGTAGAATGCATTTTTTTGAGGTAATTTTGGAGGATAATCCTGGTACCTCATTGGACTTTTACTATGTTCATACATATCTTGTGGTACTCGAGGATCAGGCTCCCCTTCCCCAAATCTCCAGGGTTCATACGTATTTCCACCAGTCCATGAACTACTTTTCCTCTTGGAACTGTAGACATCAACATCACCAGAATCGTAATTTGACATATAAGGAGATCTGATGCTTGCATCTTCTGGTAAGTCTGCATAGCTCCTATCATGCAGAAAGTTCTCAGAAGACCCCAAGCGACCATTTGACCTGAAACGGGGAGAGTTGGGGGCATTCACTGAGCCCCTTCCACTGGTGGATGACCCACCATCACTTTTTGCGAAACAGATATGCACACGGGGATTACCAAATAACTTCCCCTGAAGAGTTTCTTTTGCCCTGCAAGCTGATGATAAGCGCCTAAAGCGAACAAAAGCATAGCTACGTCCCGGAAACACAGTAATCCTCTCTATCTCACCAAATGGAGAGAGAGCCTTTTTCAAAATCATTTCATCCACTTTCAATAAAGCTGGAAATCCTATCCAGAGGACCTCACTGGGATCACCACTTCTATCACTCCCCTTTGATTTGTCATGGGTAAAATGTTCAGGGCTAGTACAACGTATTCTATTGTCCCTTGGAGAGAAAGCCGACCCTCTTACTTTTGAACGTTGCTCATCTCGATGTTGCAAGAAGTCCTCATCGCGTGATGGTGTTGATGACTTATCCTGTAATTAAGAATATCACCAGGTAAGGGGAAAACCAACCCTTACTAAAGCACTCTTATGTAATTCTAATCCAGATTGATCAAGTTTAAAATAAAAAGGGTAGAGAAATCAAGTGGATGGATGTGGAGAAAGAAATCAAGTTGTACATCTATACTAGTACATGCACGACTAACCATTTCCAGTGTTAAACACACTAAATACATATTGAAAAATGGTATTGCAAGCTTAAGCTAATGATTAATATGTTAGCAAACCATATCAAGTGAAGGGCTTGTACACTTGATATGGCTTGCTAACAAAATAACTAGCCACTGTGCTAGTTCTCCTCAAGATCCTACTGCCTCAGTGGAAAAAGTGGAAGTAAAAACACCTAATGAGGCATAGTATTGGATATTTTGACTAATTTTGTCGAATAAAGCATCCCCTTTTGAACATGTGTGAAATGCTCTATAGAATAAGTCCTGAGGATTTGTAAACTACACAGTATTATGATTTTTTCTCTCATGAATTAATAGTGTTGCAGTTTATATACTTTTTCAATCAATATGCTTCATTGTCAAAGGATCAACTACTTATGATCTCTAAAAAACAATAAGAACCAAGCCTCTATAGATTTTTGCAAAATTTGATAGGAGGCAATTTATTTTCATTAGTAGCCCTTGCTTTTATTTAATCACTTGCATACTCCAAATCTCTTAACAAATAGTACAAAAGCAACTAAACTTTCATCGAGCAAACCCCAGCAAAAGATGTTTAATGTCCATAGTGCTTAAGAGTACAAATTAAAAACATTGGTAAAACTAACACTTGACACAGAAAAAACATCTCCCTGCTCTAACAACAAAATATTCACACGCCCATTCACACATCTCATCATAAGTGAAAAACCAAGCCATGGATTCACAGCACACTAACACATGTAATTGCATGGTAAACTGCGTCTTTGCCACAAGCACAGGTATGCCTTAAAGTTTGCAGAGAAGACTGACAAAAGAACATAAAAACCATGCTGTGCAACCGAGAGATGCATCATCATAAGTAGAGAACATCAAGCTTATAAAAATACATAAGTTTTCATCATTTCTTTAGTGAATGCGAGCACTGAGGTTTGCAGAACAGAAAGTCAATAATAGTCCCCAATTCTAATCCTTCAAACCTTGCTCAAAGAACTCATACCACAAGATATTGGAGTTTCGAGTTCTGAGAATAAATATGGAAAGCAATGGTATCCAGCTCGTCGTATAAATCATGATTGAATATGCACATTGGTTTTTGCATTCAATTATAATCTTGAAGACCTTATACACATTCACGGCTACTTAGAACTCCTACAACCAGAAACATAGAGATGGCAGTTTTAAAGCAAGCAAACACTAAGGCTTGCTTGATTTTACTTATGCCATCCTGATTTTGCTGTCCATTTGGCGGGAACTGAATCTTGAAAAACAGAAAGATGTAAGATAATAATTATGAGATTAATGATCTTTTCAGCGCTGAAAGGCTACTTTCCAGTCATTCTTCGCAATTAACAATTTGAACTTAAATTAAGGGGTCGTTTTAGATTGCATATGGCAAACAAGGAGCACGAAATATATAGTGAAAGTAATGACTAATTATCATGAAATTCCAAGGTTTAAAAACGCCCTATCATAATGTAATGTTCACAAGATTAGCAACGCGTCCTGAGGCAAGTCAATGGCACAAGGAAGACAGAGTAGGTATTTATATATTGTGTTCCATGATGCATTGAGTTGAGAGTACTTCTGGATAATGCTGTTCCAGCTAATTGGAAACATTTCAGAGAAAATACAGATATAGACCCTGAAAGCTTGCTGTCACGTCTGTTGGGATTTGAGAAACATATTGCTTTTGAAATCCGACATATTGTTAAAATTTAGAGTTTTGGAAACTTTGTAGATTAGATAATGGACATTTTATGGTTCTTTTTGCTACGGATTATGCAATCTGCTCCAAAGTCACTACTATCAATTCAGCATAAATCAATGTCAATGATCTTTCTTCTACACCTTTTCTACTTAGATTGGTTCTTCTATTCAAAATCTAGTGATCATAAATTCCGGTAATTTTCCTCCGTTTCTCTTGGTTCCAACTTTCCTATATCATTTTCAAAAAAAAAAAAAAAACTTTTCTATATCAGAATTTATCCTTAAAACATTTTAATTATTTCATTATTCTTCATGTATCCTTCAAAAAGTACACACATTAGAAGTCAAGTAATATTTATTGCTAGCAAAGAAAAGGTTAACGCCCCATGAATCTTGTTAATGATGCATTATCATCAGTGATTCACTCGTACTTGGATGCAAGCCATGGTTTGCTTCATGATGTTAGCAGACATGAGAGTATTCTAGATCGCGTAGCACAAAAATGGCCTACAATACTTACTAGAAAAACAATCTACTTCACCATAAAACATATGTTTATTTTCAAGTGGCTGCAGGTGTGAGCATATCCATGGATCATGGAGGTTGAGGAACATATCTCTATGCAGTATAAAAACGCTGTATCTTGTGTAAGTTATCTTTTCTTTCACGTAGAAAATTTGCAGATTGCTGCACAGGTTACAATTCCAATATCAATAGCATTGATGATTCAACTGGTATGTACACTGCTCTAGGTCAATACACTTTATCCATCATATTCAACAGTTCAAATTTCAATAGCTGTGTTCCCAGGGTGATTAAGTCTACAAAATATAATCTTACATTGATGAAATTGATGAAAGTTAAAAACTAATCAACTTATTTAAGTCGCTAAAAGCTATAATCCGACATTATATGGATTCTGACTATGCAATTTATGCCGAGTGCTTGGAAAGAACTGAGAGAATAACAAAGCAAGGAAGAAAGCTTATTGATAACGGAATGCGTTATCAATGCACCCCCTTGTAATGGAGAACCCTTTTTGAGTTTTATGGTTAAGCAAATATCTTTTGAAATCTGAGTTGAGCAGTGGAAGTGAATATCACGGTTCCACAAGCATCTTGGATGAAAATGCAATCAACATGTTGAAATCATGCGAGTGTGCAGAAGGAACTAATTTACTATTTAATTTTCTTTTTCTTTTGTAATGTAATTATTCTTGACATAATTGAGATAAATGAACCTGATAGTGTACGGTAATGGTTATGAATACTCTAAGACATAATACTAATAGCCAGACCAGAAAAGTTTTAGAGGCTGTTTATGTAATTTGGAAGACCATGCTAAGCCTTACCAAACATCTGAACACTTGGTGCTTGGTGCTTTACTCTGGTTTTTATAAGCTGTTATTTTAAGGCAAACTTTGCAGATGAAATGGTGCTGTGGTGGAGGATATTAGATTCTTAAAGTTGCTGCTATTGGGAGAAATGAAGAAATAGACAAGGACTTCCTCATAAAGAACTATATAATTTAAGTGAAATAGAATCTTGATTATGATGTCCCCTCTTATTCCTGATATGATATTTGTTGTTATGGAATGAATCCTCAAGCATATAAGCATCTGAGGTCATTCAGGTTGCGGACCTAAATTTTTTCCATTATTTCTAAGCAGGAACTTCGATGGAAACTGCTAATAATTCACAATCAATTGTTCAGTTAAATGGACTGAAACACTATGTTCTTTATTTATAGGCTCTTTTGGTTGCTAATTGCACTGCTTGCATTCTCAAAATTTCTTAAAAAGAAAAAAAAGGCAACATGGAAACACAAAATCACAATTTTTTTAAAGAAGCAATCAAATAAAAATATTTAACACCTTCAAATATAACTTTTCAATCAAGAAAAACTTGCATTCTATTACTAAAACAAGTTGAAATTTTGGCATTAAGAAAAACATGCTTTTTCATTTTTGTTTTCATAAGTAAAGCAAGCAGCTAAACTAATAGCAACCAAACAGAGCCTTAATGTAGAGTCAAGCTAAGCTAATACTCTTTCCCAATTTTATTTTGATTCTGAGAATCTCTTTCGTTTTTCATCGGTTGGATTATGTTTATTTTTTAAGATCTTGATTCATGATCTTCCTTTGACTTCCTTGCCAATCCTCAGCTACTAAACGCACAAATTTTGGGAATTCATTCAAATTTAAATTAATTCCGGGAAAAAACAACAGTATCAAAAGACAAAAATGTAATATTAGTAATGGTTCAAGACTAACCGCCTTGGCAAACTCAATCCTAAGCGGAATCCCCGCTACGGGAAAACCTTGGAGCTCCCTCATAGCGGAAATAGCTTCGTCATCGTTGATGAAATTAATAAAAGCGTAGCTTCGACCAGGCTGAAATGCGACGCTCTCCAGCTCCCCAAACTGCAAGAAGTGCTCCGTCAGGTCCGGCTGTAGTATACTGTGTGATATATTCCCCACCCAAAGGTGTCTCGACGGCGGCGCATTACTCCGACTCGAGCTTCCCGACGGCGGGTGATCACGCCTAGATCTGTCCCTGCCTCCTCGGCCAGACTGAAAAAATTATTAAAATATAATAATATTAATATTTTTTAAAATATGTAAAACGATCATTCTAACTCAGTTTCTCTATCATAACATCAAAATCTAAGCATTAGTCATTGTTAATATTAGATCTGGTTTAAGATATTTAACTCATTCTATAAAATTAAATAATAATTAATTCAAAAAATATTTAATAAAATAAATAGATCAATTATTTATTCCAAATTCAAAATAATAAAAAATAAAATTTATAAAACTTTAGTTAATTGATTAAATTAAACTGAATAAAATTAATTTGATTGAATTAATATTACTTTAGCCTATATTTTTAATTTAGTTGATTTAATCAATATAATACACTAATGAAATTATAAGTATAAATTACTATTTTCGTGTAATTAAGATCAAATTTTATAGTACGGACGACAATCATAACTATAAATACAAATTAATAATAAAATGAAATCCAGACTTAAATCATAATAAAACTCATATAAAATGATTTTTCCTTTAATTTCTTTGCATTTTCATGGTGGATAAAGAATAGACAATTTTAGGTCAAAAATACAGTGGTGGATGTAAAATTTCCTTTAAAAGAAAACTATACGCTTTGTTTACTGTATATAGCGAACTCCCATTGATTTCGGTCACCATTCTTGCTTACAACCTCTAGAATCGAGATTTTCCCTCCATGGAAACACTAACTTTCCTGCTCGTTTCCCAGAAAGCAAACACCCCTTCAAAGCTCAACCTTCATCAGCCACACCATTCTCTTGTTCTTTGCCCAAGATCAGTGTCAGCTGGTTTTGCTTTCAATCTCAACTCGTAACCTTTTTTTGAGGGTTACAAAGAGATTGAATAATCGATCCGATTTGAATGCGAAAAGGCAACACCAATGTCGTTTCATTTCCCCATTAGAGACCAATCATCTCGGAATTCCGCCGTGTATGCCGAGAGAATAACCGAGGAACCGCTGCCGCAAACCAACAATAAGAACTCGCAAACCACCGTGACGGTGATGTACCAGACGAACATGGCCGGTTACTGGCGGAACGTGACGATCATATGGTGCAAGAACGTCATGAATTATTCTCTCAACATCATGGTGAACAACACCGAGGGCGACAACGTTCATTCCACGTGCAAGATCGAGCTCAAACCATGGCATTTTTGGAGCAGAAAAGGGTACAAATCGTTTGAAGTTGAAGGCAAACCAGTTGATGTTTATTGGGATCTCCGCTCGGCTAAATTCACAAGCGGACCCGAACCGGTTTCCGATTATTACGTCGCGTTAGTCTCCGACGAAGAAGTCGTTTTATTACTCGGAGATTACCGGAAAAAGGCTTACAAAAGAACCAAATCCAGACCGGCTCTGGTGGAACCGGTTCTGTTCTACAAAAAAGAGAATGTATTCGCCAAGAAAAGCTTCGCAGCCCGAGCCAAATTCGACGAGAAAAGGAAAGAACACGACATCGTCGTCGAGAGTTCGACGACCGGTTTAAAAGATCCGGAGATGTGGATCAGCATGGATGGGGTGGTTTTGATCCACGTGAAGAATTTGCAGTGGAAATTCCGGGGGAACCAGACGGTTCTTGTCGATAAACAGCCGGTTCAAGTGATGTGGGACGTTCATGATTGGTTCTTCAGCAGTCCAGGGACCGGGCACGGGTTGTTTATATTTAAACCGATATCGACGGAGTTAGCAGATTGTAGTGATAAAGAAGGGAGTAGCCACGGCGGTGACAGTGATACCAGTACCGGAAGCTTGTATTATTCGACGTCGAGAAGCAGCCTTTCGTTGACGTCGTCGGAATTCAGCTTGTTTCTTTATGCATGGAAGATTGAATGAGCTTTTTTTGGTAATTTAATTGTGTAATTTCCAGGCAATTTCCATGTATATATATATATACACACATTTACTCCATATTGTATTCTTTGACGCGTAAACTACTTTAGTCACTAAATTATGAGGTGGATTCTATATTGACTATTGAACAAAAATTGTATCACTTAGATCACTAACGTTTTATTTTAATGTCAATCAAATCATTGGTCGTTAAGTTTTCATTAGTCACTAATTAGGGATGGCAAAATAACATAGACACGATGAGTCTCGACCCGACTCAACCCTTAAGAGCGAGATTTATTTTTTGAAATTTCAAGCTTAGGAGGGTCGAGGTGAGTTTGAGGTTTGGATAAAAAAATGACCTGACTTTATATATTTTGAATTATATATATTATCATATTTATAAAAAAACCAATGTATATCTATACCTTTTAGGGGCATTTGATTCACATAATGTAAGGTTACTTTGACGAATAGAATTACAAGAATGTAACATTACTTACATATTATTGGGAATGTTGTATTATCTTATTAGATTTGTTTGATAATAATGTAAGATCACAATGTTTAGTTGTGGTAATATAAGATTACTTAAATATATATTTTATCAAGTTATCCTTGTGAGTTGTGATATATGTTCTTTTCACCAAGTTAAACTTTTGATAAAATTAAAATTAAGAAAAAAAAATCCTCCAATCAAATGGTAACACGTGTACACATATGATTTGAGGATTATATTTATCGAATTAAATTAATATTAAGATCAAATTAATAAAATGTGTAAGTAATGAAGACTAAATATGTGATTATAGTAATTTTATTAACAGACACGCTCACACATTGGTCAAATGTTAACAACAAATGACTTAATTGACATTATTTAAATAATAAAATGGTTTGATTAAAAATAAAAGATCCATAATCATATTAAAATTCTCTCATAATTAAGTGGTCATGGTTGTAATTTATCTAATATATTTTATTTTATGAACACATTTATTAAGTAATTCAATTTTTTTATTAAGATATTTTTTCGATATTGAATTTTCATTGATGCATCCACACTTATCTTTATTGAAAATAATGATTATCTTAATATATGAATATTATTTTCCCAATTATAAAATTAAAAATAATAAGCAGCATGCATAACTCTGGTAATTTTAAAATTTAGTTAAATTTTTTTCATGAATAAATTTTATTAAGTTAAATAATTAATTAATTTTCTTATTTTACTGAAAATTTTATTGATGCAAACTTTTTTACTTAATATTTATTAAATTAAATATATTTTTCTTTATAATTTGATATTCTTTTTTTTATAACGGATTGATATATATTTTTGTTTGCAATGTAATAATTTAATTATTTTCTTTATAATTTCATTAATAATATATTTTCATCTTTCCTAAAAATTTATAAATTCATCTTTTAACTTAAAATTTCGAGTCAATCCCAATCTTCGATGCTCTCTTCCCATAGGCAATTTCTTTGATTTTCCTTTTCTTATCCAAAGTTTTTATACCTAGCCATTGAAACATTAATCTTGTTGCCTCACGTTTAGGAATGGACGCAAGAATTTATATTAGGGGTGAATTTATAAAATTTTAAGGCAATACGAACTTATAAAATTTCAAGGAACGAAAACAAATTTTCAATAAAAATAAAAAAATCTAAAATATATAAAACTTTGAAATTTTCAATTAAGAGGGTTGTTCCTCCTCGCTCTGCCCCAAATTCAAAACCCATTTAACCTAAATATCAACCTTCAAACACCTTGAATGTTACTAACATTTTACAAATAATTCGTTAAACATATTCGTTTATAACTTTGAATAAAGTGATAAATAATTACATATATATTTTTTAAAAATTTAATATCAAGATTCTTAATTGAATAAGTAACATATATGTCTATTATACAAATATGCTTAATTTAATTTTCCATAACTTAAAAGGATATGTTCTAATATGCTCCAACAAAAGTGATAAACAAATATGTTTATTCTTAAGTTTACTCGAGCTTGAATTATGTTTGTTAATCATTTTAATTTGTGTTTTTTTTTCATTTAAAATTATGTGTATTAGTTCATTTAACTTTCGTAAATATATTTAATGTGTTTGTGAACATATTTTATTTTATACGTTGAATCAACAGTTGTTTGAACCGCAAATATGATTGAACGTATATATAAATATAGATTTAATTTAATTTAATTATAGTTATATTGCATTCAAAGGACCTTTAATTTGATCTTCAAAACTGCAAATATGATTCAACGTAAATATAAAATTAGTTTTGTTTAACTTAAATTAGGTTTATTACAATTAAAATTAGATATCGAAAGAATTAAATATGAAAGCATTCACATATTTAGAGTCTAAGCGTGAATAAAAAAATATGTAACACCCTCAACCCGTATCCGACCCGAATACGAGTTTGAAGTGTCACATTGATTTTTCAAACTTTGACTCTTCAAAGAAAAATTTAAAACTTTCATTAAAATAAAAACTGTGTATTTACATAAATTGACCAAAATCGATCAGAGCATATTCAGCTCAATCAATTAGTACATGCCAACTATATTTAGATTAACCATATACATTTAAATCATCTATTTTATTATCTGAAACTTTGTAAGGAAAATGCTGACCTGTCTTGCTCCTCTTAGCTCTTTACTCTTCTCACTTCTGTAACCTACGTGTGAAACAATCACACGCTAAGTTGTTGACTTAGTGAGACATAAAACATATAATAAAACTCTAACTCGTAATCATGCTTGAACAATTTCTACTAACATATCACATACAAGCATCATACCCACATATACATATAATAATTCCTACTATGCACCTTTCATATATATATATATATATATATATATATATATATATATATATCTACCATCCCGTGCTTCAAGCCATCAAATTCGCATCCGCCACCTATGAGCCAGGATCCAAAGCTAAATCATATCTATTCCCCAGGAAACGAAGATGTTGATAAAGCAAGGCGTTGTTAGGAGTTGAACTACCAGCTTGAATGGAAGGAAAGAAAGCGGCTCAAGCTCCTGGGTCAGCTTTGGGTAGATAACCTGAGCGAATGTAGTCGGGAGGGGAACATGTGTAGGGTTGTACTTTATGGAGCTAATTACCTCGCTCGGGGGACTAATTGTGGGGTGTACTTTTTGGGCCTGGAATGACTTTGCTGGCCATAATGGATGGGCGTGGAATGATCACTCTATTAATTCAGGTGAAAGCCATTATGTAGTTCGTGCTCTCCACCGAGAATATATATATATATATATCCACGCATACATATAATTATCTTCTTTCCTATCATTGTCATATTATCACCTTTCATATTTCTATTCTCTTGTTTATATGATCAATTAAGCTCATATCATATATCTTATAGCATATACAATAATCACTAACACACATATATCATATACATTACATTCCATGTTATCTCTTATTAGCTCATGTGCATCTGTGAGAACTGTAGATATGTGAGTCTATTGAGGTTGTGCACCACTATGCTGTCACCACAGCTCATATAAATGTCCCGAAAGACCTATCCAGAGGTCACAAATACCCCGGTAACTATCCAGAGGTCATAAAGATCCTCGGTAACTGTCCAAAGGTCATAAAGATCCTCGATAACTGTCCATAGGTCCCGAAGAACCTAGGTAAACTGTCCATATGTCTCGAAAGACATAGGTAAACCCTCGACTCTTGGCATGCCAACTATACCCTAGCTCTCATATCACAAACATGGGCATTATCATTTATAACATTAATATCACTT